CATTATTATATTATTTTCAGACTATAAACCTCTCAAAACTGAAAATAAAATGCAACTACAACAAAGCTCTACTCCGGGAGGTGATCTGTAAAAACACCCAATGCTTCATAAAACATGGTTTGATAGATATTGCAAGCATCATTAAGAAGGGAATGAGTCTGTCGTTTCACCGCTGGCATGCAGTATTAATCACAAAGGTCTTTTAAAGCATGTTGCTGATGGAGATGATGACAAGCTGACGTTGAAGAATTATGCAAAGGATGCATCCTTCTTGATCTGATTTCAAAGCAGGACTCCACACAGCTGTTTCATTTGCCTTCTCACTCAGTGAGCCTGCACTTTAAAAAGCCAGCTTCATTCCCAATGTGTCCCCGATGGAACATAATGCCAAACTTTCTTAAAGGCTCATTGTTTAGTTAGCTTAATGTTTTTTAAAACACAGAATCCAACATGCTTGGCAGTGCATAATCTAATTCCCAGTAATGCAGTGCTAAAAGCCCATATTTTTTGCCCCTGTATTTTTCAAAACCCTGACAGTGCACAGAGACGGCACGGAAACACTGCACTGCTGGTGCTACATGGAATCACATTGATGTTATTTCTCACACATACTGACACCTACCGTGCGCAGGGACATTGAGAACACATTGAGGAAGCACTTGGTTTCATATATTCTTCTGGGTTTATTCTCTAAATAAAAAATGACCCGCATACAGTCTAGACGTTAGACTTAGTCAAACAGTTGTATATGAAATGGAGCATACAATTAAAATGCTGATTATAATATAAAAATTCAAACCTGTGAAGTCAGATGGCTTGAAGCAGAGAGAAATCGTAAACAAGTCTCTTTTTAAAAAATCCAACCGTTGCACCATTTGATCTTTAACCCGACATAAATTAAGACTAAGGGGATGAGAAGATCCTTTAAGTTTGAAACATGTTTGCATAATTAATCACTCAAAATCCACAAGGAGTCATATTGCAGATCTTAATACTTAAAAGCGCATAACTTGGTGTTCGGTAATAACTCAAAAGTTAAAGTGACCGGTAAAGTTACCACTCAGACTTTTATGTGTGCTCATAAATTAAGAGGTGTGTGGGTGTGTTTGTTGAGCCGTACGGTAATGTAGAAGCCATTTTAGATGTGTTCTCACAGCTGTTACTTTCTTCATTATGGTACGATGGAGCTAGACAAACGGCTGAACTTTGCCATATTCCTATCACATATATATAAGAATAACACAAACAATGTACATGTTTTGGTCATTTGAAATGTATATTTAAACAACATCCCATACATTCTTGCATGTTCAAAGAGAGACAATGCACTTATTGTAACATAGCAACCTGTCTTGCTGTTCACATAGCTCTGCCCTTTCAACCCTCTGACGATAAAGACAAACCCTCTTTGTCTTTATGTGTTTCTTGTGTTTTTTCCAATTAACTATACATTCTTTGTGTTAGAAAGATGTAAATAGTATATACACTTGCTCTCTGCACTTTTGTTTCTTTAGCTTTAAGTGACACACTGTTTCAATTTGTTGTAAATCGGCTAACTCAAACGCAGCATTTCAAGTGGCACACTTCATATTCCCCCATAAGCTTTGTGTGCTTTTTTGCAAAGTATGCACACAGTTGGTTTGATTCAGTTTGTGGGGTTTAATGTTCCCTTGGTTCATTTTGGAATTATGCAGTCAGATTTGCTGCATGTCAAATCCTTCGCCTTTTTTGAAGGTTTTCGGGGATTTGGTGTTTTGTGTAATGCTCAGCATGTGCTTCACCTAAAAACACACTTCATTTCCTGTTACAGTTCAGGTATGCCTTTCATCAGAAGTTGACTCAAGATTGACCATAAAGAGTGTTGACGTATTGAAACTCATCTCTGTGCTTGCTGTGCCGGCACAATTCCCATCAACCATAATGCCCCTGCACTACATATGTATTTATATGACTGCTGCATTTTATACTCTCAATTGAATGACTGCCACAACAGGAAAACCTGCAAACCAAACAAGGGCAATCAAGATGTTGACTTGTACTATATGCCAATAGATCAATATGTAGACATGAAGATAAATGGATACCAATTTGTCCAATTTCAGTCGTGCATCTTTATTTGTAAGGTTTGAAGGGAAGGTGTATTGTTTACAAAGAATGAGTGTTTCATATGTGGGTGGGATAATAGGATGATGTTGGTACAGGATAAACAAAGACAGCAGTTTGTCATATGTTTGAAGAGCATGTTGCAGTTAACTAAAATGTCATGTCATTTTCTTGTTATGGTCTTTAAAGGGGCTCTATTAAGCTCATGTTCAGGTTTCATAATTGTATTTGGTGCGTCTATTGTGACATGTTTTCATGCTTTAAGGTTCAAAAACGTGTGGGAGAAACTCTCACTCTTTTTGATTTTAAGAATATACAGTTCTAAAAATAATATGTTCTGCCCGTCAACATCCCCCTTACCTCTGTGATATAACATCCGCCTGTCCTCTCTTCTTCATTTCCCTCTGCCCCCCTCATTGACATTGCACCGTTACATCAGTGTGTGCTGATTATATGAAAAATGCTTTTGCTTGAAAGTGAAGTGGCGCTGTCTGCTGCAGGCTCTTACAGTGGAATAAGGCCCCGAGGTGAAGTAAAACTGGACGGTGCTGGTAGATAATCCACATTTCTATTAGCCTACTTTTAGTTCTTTTTTAATGAGGCTCTCAGTCTAGACCAGGAGATGAGTGGGATGCCTTTTGCGGCGCTATCATGTCATGTGATCTTGTGTTTTTCATACAGCAGTTGATCAGAATTGACTTTGAAGAAAGGTAATATGGGTTGATGAGAGCTCATATTTAAATGGGTTTGATCAAAGTGTAATGGATCATTAATTCATGTTTGATTGGCCTTCTGCACCGACATCATGCAATTTTGTTATCCCTGAATCAGATCCACACTGCTCGTCTTTTATCACTTGTCTATCTGTCTGTTGATATATCTGTCTGTCTATTTCTATGCAGATGAAACAGACAATCTTAAAATGTAGTTTGTTGTAAAACAAATTAAAAAAATCCATGCCAGTAATCACTCTAAGAAATGATTGGCACGACCTGCCCCTGCTAAACCTTATTACAGCTTGTGGTGAATGGTTTTACTCTTGATAATAATTCTTACTACAATTTGTGTTAAATTACACTTGAAATGTATTTTTTCCTCAAAGAAAAAATCCTCAGGCGTAGCAAGAGCATGCATGCATAGTAGCCTGAAGGTTTTTACTCTACAGGGATAGAAAGTATTTCCTCGTTTCTGAATGGCATTCATGTTACGATTCTTTTTGCACTTTTTAACCCTTAGATGCCCGAGTGACTGGACCCTACACTCTTCCATAAGTGGGTCAAAAAGGACCCGTATTAGAATAATATGTGTTTTTATGCCATTTTTGTCATTTTGGTTAAGAAAAATCAATTGTATAATATTTAGTATTATATTATATATATTTAATTTTTCACTATTTATAATTTTAGACATTTTTTTTACATTTTGAAAAAAAACGTTTTCCCATAGGATTCCATAGAAAATGCATGCGGGTCATTTTTGACCCACTTATGGAAGCTTGGGGTAGTAATACAAAAACTACAATTTCTTAAAATGTAAATACAAAATTAGAATGGCATGATATCCAAAACATGTTTTTTGAGGAATAGCTGGAATATGAAATGATAAATTTTTTTAATTAAAAGATACTTCAAGAAAACCACCTCACCCGGTCAAAAAAGACCCACTTATGCATCTCAGG